ACTCCCAAACTAAAAGAGGAAAGCCATATGATTTTCTCACTAGTTGTAGAAAAAAACATATGATTAGATATCCATTTATGATTATGATTGAAAAAAGAAACAACTACAAACTGGTGCTATAAGTTAGCTTTCTCAACCTAATAGAGGGAATTTATGAAAAACCTACAGCTAAGGGTAAGTTTGGGAACAAGGTAAAAGATGTCTGCTCTTACCACTTTTATTCAACATTTTACTGTAGGTCCTAGCCAGTGCGGGCGGTAAGGTAAGGAAAAGAAACAAAAGACATGCAGATTGGAAAGGAGGAAATACTGATCTTATTCTCAGACACCATGGATTATCTTTCTAAAAAATCCTAAGGGCTCTACATCGAGATTTAGTGAGTTTAGCTAATTGTTAGATACATGGACAATATAAAATAATCAGTTGAATCTCTGTATACTAGCAACAAACAGTTGGAAAATGGAAAAAAAAAAGACCACTTACAGTGCATCAAAAAAACGTGAAACACTTAGGGATAAATTTACCAGAATATATATAGAAAGAAGACCTATACACTTGAAGTAGAAAAAACATTGCTAAAATAAATAAGTAGAGAGAGATACTTTTGGGAAACAGTTCTCCTTGGGTCTTTGCGTTTCTGTACTTCTTACAAGTGAGGCGGTGACAGCCCTTTTATTTACCTTTTTTTTATTTAAAAAAATTTATTTATTTTTGTCTGCGTTGGGTCTTTGTTGCTGCGCACGGGCTTTCTCTAGTTGCAGCGAGCGAGGGCTACTCTTCACTTTGGTGCGCGGGCTTCTCACTTCGAACTGAGCTGTTGTTGCAGAGCACGGGCTGTAGGCACGAGGGCTTCAGTAGTTGTGGCACGTGGGCTTCAGTAGTTGTGGCTTGCAGACTCTAGAGCGCAGGCTCAATAGTGTGATAGCCCTTTTAAACAATTTTTTCCAGGATGTTTGTATAGCATAAAGCCTTGGATGATAGTGACTCCTGCTGTTGCAGAGGGCAGATTTGCTTATTGTCCAGTATAGTAAAGATAATATCTCCCTTTGGACAAAGGGCAGGTGTGCTTCAGGTTATAAATGATTCAGGTTCCTTAAGCTCAGGGTCCCTCAGTTGTGATGCAAACCTGCTGCCTGCACAGTGTCTACCTGGGCTCCTCTCCACATCTGCCCTGTAGGACTTGGGGGCAACAGGGGAACTGATACACGCATGATACTTATGTTCCTTGCTGTGCTTGGAGTAGTAAGCCCTGTGTCTCTGACCTAGGCCTACTGTGTTGTCTGCCAGTATCCACGAAACAGTGACAGGCTACTTGGTTAGCTTGCAAGGAGAGTCTAAAATCTCAGCCCCCTCCCAGTACTTCACCGTTTTAGCCATAAGAATGGAGTGCTGACAGAGACATGGCTTTTTGAAAGAGGAAGGATGAGGACCTTGAGGGCTGGGCTAGGGGATATTGAAAGACTCTCTGGCATCTGGCAGCGAATGCTCTCACCCAAATGGTGGGCAAGGGTGGCAGAGGCAAGGGAAGTAGGAGCCCTTCGGTGTTCTACCTCTTAATGAATATTTAGGGGCTGAGCTGAGAGATAGCCTGAATGGTTACTTTGGTTGTTGTACACTCAACTCCATGGCCCTAGCAGAAGGGCGGCGGGGCTGTAGCTGCTGAGTCAAGGAGTCCCCAAAGCTGAGAAAATGATGTTAGAAATGAGGATCTGGGTGGATCGAAAACATTAGAAGTTTGTTTGGTTGAGCTGCAAGTGTGGGGGCTTGAAACTGAAAGTAAATGCACTGTCCGACCACTGTCTCCTTCCGTGGGGTGACCTCTCCTCCTCTTACACCTTGACTTCAGGTATTTTAAGGAGAAAGATGAATAAGGGTTGGGCTGAGGTCTCCCTATCCTTAAGGGAGACCAGAGGCCACACCCATCTGTCTAAACGTGCTGGGGGAACTTCAGGGAGAAGAGGGAGTCAAACTTTTATGGTTGTGTTGGATACTGACACCCAAGTCATCATCCTACCTTGTTCTATGGGGGATGGAATGTTCAGAGACAACTGACAGGCCTTGGGCAAGGTCCATGGTAGGGAAGGGAAGCTAATGTGGCACTGTGGGTGGGGCCATTTTTTGTTGTGTGTACTGTTATCTGTCTTCCACTGCTGAAGGTATAATTGGTGTTGATGTTTTAAAGAGCCTGTCTGTAAATGTCCTGTTCTATAAGTGCCAGAGGGGATTCTCCTGATTAGGAAGAGCCGCATCTAGAGAAGTGCTCATACTTTGGAAACCTTAGTGATTCCTCTGAGCTACAAGTTACTGTGACTGATGGTTTTGCAATATATGTAAAGAACTCATCCAACTCAACAAGAAGATAAAAAACCCAATATTTAAAAAATTTGGCAAAAGGCTTTAACACAGACACTTTTTAAAAGAAGATATACAAATAGATAACATTCGTATGAAAAGATGCTCAACGTCTTTAGTCATCTGGGAATTGCAAATTAAAACCACAATGAGGGCTTCCCTGGTGGCGCAGTGGTTGAGAGTCCGCCTGCCAATGCAGGGGATACGGGTTCGTGCCCCGGTCTGGGAGGATCCTACATGCCACGGAGCGGCTGGGCCCGTGAGCCATGGCTGCTGAGCCCGTGCGTCCGGACCTGTGCTCCGCAACGGGAGAGGCCACAACAGTGAGAGGCCCGTGTACCGCAAAAAAAAAAAACCCACAATGAGATACCACTTCACACCCACTAGAATGGCTAAAGTTAAAAAGACCAACAAAACCAGTTGCTGGCAAGGATGTGGAGCAGCTGGGAGCCTCATGCATCGCTGGTGGGTGTACAAAATGGTACAGCTGAGCTGGGAAGTAGCTTAGCAGTTTCATGCAAAGTTAAAAATAAACTTACCTTATGACCTAGCAAGTCCACTTCTAGGTATTTATTCAAAAGAAATGAAAATATCTATCCATAAAAAACTTGAATGTTCATAGCAGTATTATTCATAATAGTCCCAAAATGGAAACAGTCCAAATGTCCATCCACAGATGAATGGATAAACAACTTGTGGTAGATTCATCCAATGGAATGTTACTCAGCAATGAAAAGGAACTGAGCTGCTAATAAGTGTAAGAATAAAGATAAATCTTAAAAAACATACTGAGGGAAAAGGCTTATACTGTATATTCCTTTATGTCATGAGTATGTAATATATGATTCCATTTATATGAAGTTCTAGGATGGGCAAAAAGGCAACACTAATCTAGTGAGGTGATAGAACAGACCTGTGGTTGTGTAGAGTAGGATTTTGGGGTAGGAGGTTGACTGTAAAAGAGTAGACTTTTTTTTTCCTCAATTTAAAAACACCGGTGGTAAAAATTTAAGGCAGTAAATTTTGTGATTAAAATTATGAACTTTGTGTCATAAAACATATCCTGAGTTTGAGTTCTGGCTCTGTCATTTACTGGGTAGCTGTGTGACCTTGGGCAAATAGTTTAACCTTTTTAAGTTTCCTCATCTGTAAAATGGGGGTGATAATGATACCATATTAGAGTTGTCAGGATAGATTAAATTATGTCAGGATAGATTAAATTAAATTATGCCATCACTGGTAGATAGTAAGTGCTCAATAATGAAGATTAACTTTGGCAGTATTAGTATTTGTCAATGCTAATAATTATAATTTGCTGTTCATGTCTGTTACTCTTAATCTTGGAATGGGTATTGCATGTTTATATTTTTAAAAAAAGGGAAAAGAAAGAATTGCTGATTAGGTTCCTATGGATCTTAGATGTTCTCTGGGCAGATAACTTATTTAGTCAGTCATAAATATGATGAACTCTTTAATATGTGAAGATAATGGTACTGACTCCTTTATTGGAAGTTCTGTATGACCTTTGGCTGAAAGCATTGCAGTTCTGATTTCTTCGTAATCTGCTTTATTATTATTACCATTTTTTTTTTCTTTATGGGGCCTAGCTGTATACCTCTTAAATGGTTCTCTTTGTGACATTTTGAATGGCTGAGGAGGATTTGAGAATCTTCTTTCCAAATAAAGCTTTCTTTAGTATGAAGCAAATTGGTCAGACTTGGGCCAGATAAGCCTTTTGACCTACAGTTGCTGAGATGGATTACTCTAGAAACTCCTTTAACGTTAATTTGAGTCCTTAATGGATTTTTTTTTCTTCACATCTTTATTGGGGTATAATTGCTTTACAATGGTGTGTTAGTTTCTGCTTTATAACAAAGTGAATCAGTTATACATATATGTATGTTCCCATATCTCTTTCC